TAGGGAACAAACTTACCAGCTATTAACACTTTGATAAGTCAGACAAATGGCCTCCAAATGGCTGAAAAATGAAGACCGAGATGCTAGATTACAATCATGGGATGCCAGATAGGACACACGATTTCTTAATTCTGGATTTACTTTTTATTTGTATCCCTCATTGGTAAAATAAAAGCCGTTGTGTTTCACATCTCAGAACCTCAGGGAAGCTGGCTCCTTGTTCTCCAGTGGAAGGCGTTGCTGGGTCACTGAAAGGTGAGAGGAGGCAGAAGTCATGTTTCTTTGTTTCTCACATTGCTCCTTGTACTGATTGTGGTGGCAGAGCGTGCAGCACCCAGCAGCCCAGAGAAGCAGAGTGCAGTGCGATGGCTGTTATTCCTGCTGAGGTGGCTCAGTTTTAGCAGCAGCCTCGCCTTCACCTGCAGTCATGAGATCTGGGCAACAGCATTTTATCTTTTTCTCTTCCAGCTTCAGGGTTGGTATGGTTTTCCTGCAATTCGCAATCAGAGGGCATCTTTCATAACCACTTTTTGGTTCTGGAGTCTGTCAAAATTCCTAACACTAATTTCTACATGGAATGTCATTCTGATTAATTGATTAATTTACATATAGTGTTTATTTTCTTGACTGTACACTTTCTGATAAAAACTGCAGATATGTATATATTATATTTTTCATCTGAGATATATCTCTATATCTATCTATCTATCTATCTATCTATCTATCTATCTATACATACATACACACATCCCTCTCTCAAATGAGTACATACATGAAAATGTGTGGTTTGCAGAATATCAAAGGGAAGAGAAAAGTCCCATGATGGGCACACTGACTACCAGTTAGAGAAAAGTTAATGAATTACAGAACTGTAAGACCTTAAGGTTTTACATTCTCTGGATAAATACCCTGACAGCTTCAAAAGCATGCAATCAGCACTATTTGCCAATACGTCAGGTATTTTGCTAACATATGTTTCCTTTCATAGTTGACACTACATAATAGATTGTGATGCTGTCTCATTCAGCCTGATCACCTGACCTTCTGACTTCATGCACCTAAAGAAATCCAGTGATCCAATTTTACCCATCCTTTGTGGTGAAAAATCCCATGTTGAAGAAGGACAGAAGAAACTGGAATGAGGTCGCTGTCTTTATCTGAGATTTCTGCTCTCATCCTTTCCTGTGTTGAGTCTCAATAATTATCCATGTCCTATCCTAAACCTCATTTTCTCTTTACCAGAAATAGCTCCTCTATCTAAGGTTTTATCCTCCAGTGCATGTCCGTACTTCAGTTTCCCCTAGTCTTATTTCTATGTAGATTTCATATAGAAATTCTATGTAGATTTCATATAATGGAGGTGTCTAAAATAAGACAATAATGACAGAAGAGATCATAACTTGTAGAGCAGTATTAAAACAATCAGTACTTGTTATCAAGATCATTTTTTCTAAAAGAGAAAATAAAAATGTTACATATGCATCAAAATGTGGACAGCAAGTCACCCAGGTGCCGAGGCAAGAGATCGAGGGCACGAGTTGTTCCAGTATAATAAAATATATAAAATAAGAAGACTTATACTAGATATAGATAATAGATATGATTATATATGAATATCATTAATCATTAGTTTGTAGCAATTACTCTTTATTCCAATATTATAATAATCTTCGCTCTATAATCATAACCTAGGAAAAGCCAGGCCATATAGAGATGGGAGTTGAGGGGACATAGTGAGGAGTGACCAGAAGACAAGAGGACGAGTCCTCTGTCACGCCCCGACAGGGCCACTAGAGGGCTCCTTGGTCTAGCAGTAATGCCAGCGTCTGGGAAGACGCCCGTTGCCAAGTGGACCGTGGTCTAGTGGAGCGGTAGCGTCAGTGTCAAGGAAAAACACCGGCTACTTAGCAGACCGGGAAAGGGAGTCTCCCTCTCCCTGAGGGGAGTTTAGAGAAGACCCTGCTCCTCCACCTCTTGTGGAAGGCCTGACATCAGTAAGGCCCGCCGGCAGTTATCCGGAGGCTTAACCATCTCCCTGTGACGCTGTGCTTCAGTGGTCACGCTCCTAGTCCGCCTTCATGTTCCCTCCTGTACACCTGGCTCAGCCTTTTAGATAGCAGTAGCAAGTTAGTGAAAGTACTAAAAGTCTCTGATATGCAGAAATAATGGCGTAGGCTGTTTCTCTCTCTCTCCTCCCTTTCTCTCTGCCTCGCTGCCAGGCAGGGAAGGGCCCCCTGTCCAGTGGACACATGACCCACGTGACTGACCCACATGACCTTACCTATCATTGGAGATGGCTCACACTCCTTACCCTGCCCCTTTGTCTTGTATGCAATAAATATCAGCGCAGTCTGGCATTCGGGGCCACTACCTATCTCTGCGTCTTGGTGATAGTGGCCTCCCAGGCCCAGCTGTCTTTTCTTTTATCTCTTTGTCTTGTGTCTTTATTTCTGCAATCTCTCGTCTCCGCACACGGGGAGAAAAACCCACCGACCCTGTGGGGCTGGACCCTACATCAAAATATGAAGAGCATGTGTAACTTTCAGACTGGCAAAGGAAAATGAAATTAAATATGACTCAGTCAGTGCAAAAGAAGAAAGTAAGGCAGACAGAAAGCATAGAAAAAGCATCACCAATGCCCCATTGGGCCCCTATTAGTTGCAGGCTGGAAAATTTGACAAGCATCTGGCTGAAGGTAAGAAATATCTGGAGAAAATACAGGGGAACTGCCAAGAGCATAAAAAATATCTTGGCCTAGATCTAGCCAGGATACAGGCATAGGGAGAGGACCACACATTTTGGGCTTGCTGTCCTCAGCTAGCAGTTGCAATCCTGCAGGTAGGATTGACAGTCAACATGTTTCTGTATTAGGGCAACTGAGGTTGCAGTCCAAGGTCTGCCTATGAATCCTTCAATTCTAAACCCTTCACTTTGTAAGAAGACAAACCTAGGATAAAAATGAAATAGAAGACAGACCCTTGTAAGGAACTATAGCCAAGTGCAAATGGGATGGAGGTGGTCACAGAGTGCAGTGATCCCAGGCATCCTGATGCGTCCCTAGTTGTCTGTAAGAAAAAAATGTAAATAGAGGAAGATGATGTCATCCCAGGCCTCCTCCTAATCTAAGAGATTAATGCTGTGCTACACAGACCCTAATGCTCTCAACAAATCAGAGGCCATCTAGGAAGTGAAAGAGCATTGTGCCCCAACTGTCCCAGCAGGAGGCCAGAGCAGAGAAGGGCTCATCCATTGTCCCTGCCTAAACCTCACAGCCCAGGGCTGGACACACACTTTCACAAAATTTTCGAAAAGTATTTAATCACCCATTGATCATTTAGTAGTAGAGTGTTGAATTTCCAAGCGATTGGAGAATTTCTTGTAATTCTGTTTTTTATTTTAATTGGACTCAATTATGGTCACAGAACATAGTTTCTATGACCTCAGTTATTATAAACCTCTAAAGGCTGGTGGTGCGACCCCAGCCAGTTGCAGTCCTGGGCCCCCGTAGTGTCATTCAGTGATCAATAGACCACCACATCCAGGCCCCGAAGCTGTGGTCAGGCCCTGGCTGGTCACCACGTCTGTGTCCCTGCTTCCCCTGGAACTCTCCACACAGTCAGTGCTGGGGCTGGAGCCGTTACAATCAGTGTCTCTTTTGATGGGCACAGCTGTAGTCCTCAGTCTTCATATCTCTTTATCCACTTCCACCTCGAGGCCACAGCATCCATCCCTGCCTGAAGCAAGTAAATTCCATCCCACTGAGGAATTCTTCAGTGGGCTCTGTGCTCCCCTGAACTGATATACAGAGATGATTTTCTCCATCAGGCATGACCGTGAGCATTGCTCTGAATGTGTGTTTTTTCATTGCTTGAGTCTTGACCGAAATGGGCTTTCCTGTCATTGTCATAAGACACCCTGGATGCTTGGTTTAAGCTATCTGTAGTCATCTTTTTCCCCAGTGTAGCCATCTTGGAGACCTATATCCCCCACTGAGCTAGGACACTGGGGCAAAAAGTAATGAGCTTCACAGGGGTCTTCAGGAAGTGCTGGGTGTCAGCACCCTATGCCTCAAGGACCCGAGTCATACTTTCTCATCACTTTTATGCTGCCTCAAGGTGCTTCTTATAAACATTCTCTTCCTGGGCCATTTCAGTAGCTTGTAGTTCTACCTCCTTCCCTTGGGTAGTTTTCTCTGTCAGTTACATGGGTCTGACACGCTGAGTCACAGGCTTGGCCACCAGAGCAAACCTGTTTTTCATTGTGCGATGCTCCCCATGTGGCATGGGCATTCTGGAGTGGTCCCTTCCATTGGAGCTTGTTTCCTTTCTAGAATGTATTTCACCACTTCATCAAATGGGCCAGGCCCTTCACTGAACAGATTTGCAGTTTCTAAGTGAGTGCCCATGTGCACATCTTCCACTTCCTAGCTCTGAATCTCTTTTCCCTTTTCCTGCCTTTTAGGGTGTGAAGCAAAACAAGTTGGGCTGTGGTTTGGGAACGGTCCTGGGTGCAAGGCCTCACTATGACTTTTGTAGGTCACAGGTGTTATTGCCTTCATAGGCCACTTCTGCATAGAAACATATTAGACTTTGTACTTTACAACTGCATTGCTAAGATGGTGAATATATCCTTGGCTAGATTCATTGATATGTACTCACTTTAAGAAATGTTGTGTTTTTTTTTTTTAAATTATAACATTATTATGGACCCCTGTTGTGGGCCTGGATCCCTGCACCTGCCTTGCTGAAGGGAAGAGTCATCCCTGGTGGAACTGAGTTGTCCTGAGAAACAGACAGGGTCTTCCTGGGTGAGGGGATGGCCCCACTAAGAAGAGGGACAGGCTGAAGTGACAGCAGAAGAGGTAGTAATAACCTAACCCTGATGACAGGAATACAGGGGACAGAACATGAACGAGACCCTAGTTTCCATTTAAAAATCCTCTGCTGTGCCGGGTCCCTGCACATCACACTCACTCCCCTCAACCCTCACGGCCTTTGCAGCTCACTGTGGGGCAGGGGAGGATGAACCCACTGGCAGAGACTGGACGGGGGAACATTGCATAATTTAAGGTGTTGTTATGCTAGAAAACTCAGTCATCAGGGTAAGTAATATTTTCATGCAATACTTTAAAAGTTCAACATTAACGCCAACATCCATGAATGACAAATAAAAATCAAAATTTAAAATTCAGACAGGATCCCCCTTGCTTTGCACTCCTCCCCTCCCTGACTGGCTCTGGTCTGGGCCCTGCACACCCGGGGGGAGGCCCAGAGACAACCCAGAGGAGCCTGGCATAACCAGCAGGGCTCAGCAAGGATGGGACTGGGGTAAAATCAGGGCTTCTGAGCACGACCCCAAGAGTGTGAGGTTTCCAGAGAAAGTGGCTGAGGGAGGTAGTGGGATGCGGAGCGTGAAACACTCTTCAGAGAAAAATTAGGCAACAAGAGCTAATGCTTTTTTTCTTCGGAGAGAGAGAAGTCCAACTCTTGGGCTGGAGATGATGAGAACTCAAGCGTTTCCCAGAAACCTCGGACCCTCACCCAGCTCCTTCGAGGCTTGTCTCTGTCTGCAACCTACAGCCTGCCTGTGCAGTCTGGGAAGCCTCTTTTTTTTTTTTTAATAGAAGAACAAGAAATAATTTTAGTGATTTGCAGTTAGTTTATTGAAATGGAAATGAATTTGAGGTTTCAACAATTGTCCAGCAGTTTCCACATATAAAAAGACAACACAAGAAAGAAAAGTGGCTTCTAGCAATCAACAGATGAGTTCTGGCCATAGTCTGTAGTCCTCTGAGCCAAACGCCTTGTGTAAAGTTAATTACTCTTAATTACACCAAATACTGTCGTACATTGTATGCTGGAAAACAAAAACAGATCACTTGGGTTTGCAAATTTCACTTACTAAGTCAAATAGTATAACTTGCCTTCTTGTTTTCTTGCATTTGTCCACAAACAGCTAACTCCCAGGAAAATTTGCAGTGGAAGAAAAGCCAGCATCCCCTCTCCATTTATTCTGTCCTCTAGGAGACACTTCATAACGCCAAACAGGGGCCAGGGTTGTAGGACCTCTTCCCTACCAGGGATCCATGTAATACTTTTTTTCTCCAAAAATTCTATTCCTTGAAATAACTTATCCAATAAATATGCTGCACATACTATTTGTTGAAGACCTGATCATTTGGACTGTTTCTGATACCACTTTTACAACAAAGAATTGTTAAAAAAAAAAATTTCAGCTCAAATACAAGAATGTGATGGTTTTGAGTTATTGCACAGGCATAAAAGGTGGAAATGTTGTAACAGGCTGAGACTCTTCACCATTGCCTTTGAGCTCTATGAAATATTGGAGCTGGGCTGGGTGCGATGGCTCATGCCTGTAATCCCAGCACTTTGGGAAGCCAAGGTGGGCAGATTGCTTGACCCCAGGAGTTTAAACCAATCTGGGCAATATGACAAAACCCAATCTCTACAAAAAAAAAACCAAAACATATATATATATGCTGGATGTGCTAGTGTGCAACTGTAGTTGCAGCTACTCAAGAGGCTGATGTGGGAGGATCACTTGAGCCCAGGAGATGGAGGCTGCATTGAACTGTGATTGTACCACTGCACTCCAGCCTGGGCAAAAGAGCAAAACTCTGTCTCAAAAAAACAAAACAAAACAAAACAAAAAAATGGAAACAAGAAACATTGGAGTTTTATAATATAAATGATTAATCTGAGGGGTTTTTTTGGTTTGTTTGGGTTTATTGTTTGTTTGTTTGCTTTTGAGATGGAGTCTCTCTTTATTGCCCAGGCTGGAGTGCAGTGGCACTATCTTTGCCTACTGCAACCTCTGCCTCCCGGGTTCAAGCAATTCTCCTGCCTCAGCCACCCAAGTAGCTGGAATTACAGGTGTGCGCAACCACACCTGGCTAATTTTTGTATTGTTAGTAGAGACGGGGTTTCAACATGTTGACCAGGCTGGTCTTGAACTCCTGACCTCAAGTGATCCACCCACCTTGGCCTCCCAAAGTGCTGGGATTACAGGTATGAGGGACCGCACCTGGCTAATCTGAGTTTTTAAAGAAAAAAATGATTCAACCATCCCAAATTGCAGTTAATATTTACTTTTATCCTTGAGCATTTGATATATCTCTAAATTTTCTATTGTGGAATGTTTAATAAAATTTTGGGGTATTAAATAAATTCTTTAAAGAAAAAAAAAAAAACATAATCCCAGCACTTTGGGAGGCTGAAGCGGGCAGATCACCTGAGGTCAGGAGTTTGAGACCAGCCTGGCCAACATGGTGAAACTCCATCTCTACTTAAAATCAGCTGGGTGTGGTGGCGTGTGCCAGTAATCCTGGCTACTCTGAAGGCTGAGGCTGGAGAATCACTTGAACACAAGGTTGGCGGAGGTTGCAGTGAGCCGAGATTGTGCCATTACACTCTAGCCTGAGCAACAAGAGCTAAACTCTGTCTCAAAAAAAAAAAAAAAAAAACTCATAGCCAACACATCTTTATAAACAGAAACACTCAATGTTATAACCATTGACTTTGTTGTAAACAATTCTAATTGACTTTGTTGTAAACAATTCTAGCACTCGTGCTGTTTCACACCCGTGATCTGCACTTCCCACTTCATGAGGCACTTAATTAAGTGGTGCATGATTTCCAGTCACGTATGCTAACAAATCTTGGTTGCTTGGACTTGCATTTTAAATTCTTTATTTTAGGCCAGGAGGGATGGCTCACACCTGTAATCCCAGCAATTTGGGAGGCCGAGGCTGGCAGATCACCTGAGGCCAGGAGTTCAAGACCAGCCTGGCCAACATGGTGAAACCCCATCTCTACTAAAAATACAAAAATTATCTGGGCATGGTGATGGTACGTGCCTGTAGTCCCAGCTACTCGAGAGTCTGAGGCACAAGAACTGCTTGATCCCAGGAGGCAGAGTTTGCAGTGAACGAAGATCATGCCACTACACTCCAGTCTAGGCGACGGAGTGAAACTCCATCTCAAAAAAATTCTTTTTCTTTATTTTAGAAAATGCAGAATTTGCACAAATTGTATTTTCTGAGCTAGATAAAAAATAATAAGAATGTTTTTAATATTTGTTTTGTGAAACTAGGAAATGTCTTAGTAGGTTGCTCCTACAAGTGTGTGACTCCTTGAGAACCAAATTTTTTCTGTTAATAAAAATGTGCATGTGTCTGGCTGGGTGCGGTGGCTCACACCTGTAATTCCAGAATTTTGGGAGGTCAAGGGAGGCAGATCACTTGAAGTCAGGAGTTTGAGACCAGCTTTGTCAACATGGCAAAACTCCGTCTCTAGTAAAAATACAAAAATTAGCCGGGCATGGTGGCGCACACCTGTAATCCCAAATACTTGGGAGGCGGAGGCAGGCAATTCACTTGAACCCGGGAAGTGGAGGTTGCAGTGAGCTGAGATTCGTGCCACTACACTCCAGCCTGGGTGACAGAGCGAAACTCCGTCTCAAAAAAAAAAAAAAAAAACCAAAAAAAATGCAGATGCCTGTCGCTGTGTGTCTGTGTGTCTATACTTGTGTGCTTATGTGTGTCTGTGTCTGTGTGAGAATGGACTGGTGAGGTCAGAGGTAGATGGGTGATCTCTAAGTCTTGCTTTTCTCCCTTTTGCCTTTTCCATTTATCACTACCTAAAGATTCTCAGTGTGAAGTGGCAAAGCAGCCTGGAGACAAAGTTTAATGAATTGATATATAAAGTTTAGAGCCCGCTGGTTCTGATCGGTGATTTTCAAAGGGTACCTAAGAAGAAGCCAAAATTACCATCATCAGTCCGAAGTTTGTCAGAGTTCTATGTGACTGGCTGAGGAAGCACTGCTTGAACTTCCCCATAGCCTCCGCGGCGGCCTCGCTGTCTGTGAATTCTTGAAGAAGCTCTTTGTACTCAGGTATAGATATGTCGGAATTGATGGTCTTTTCAACCACATCCTCCAGGAGTTTGCAGCCAGAATCTGGAAAAAATAAAATAAAAGACACAAGAACATGGGCCATTACCAGAGGTGTGAGCTCATTTTACAGATGAATTGGGAAAGCTGGCTGTCTTTGTACCTCCAGGGACAGACCGAGGTTCAGAAAGATTTTGGTGCAGGATGTAGAGTTCTCAATTCTGAGAGCATAAACTCAGGCTCTGCAAATTCTCTCCAACCTCCCAAACCCAGAGAAGCCCAACCCTGTGTATCCTTGGTGAAGAGGACCCTTGAGAAATGAGGTGCTCTGACTGGGGTCACATAGCAAACACCAGTTGGACTTTCTTGGTTCAAAGTCATGCAATGCTTCCCTGTTATCATGCCCAGCATCAGCGAGGGTTTCCAAGGATTTCAGATTAATGGGTCTAGGACATTGTCCATTAGTTCTATTGACTCTACTGCAATAAAAGGGAATGTGTGACCAGGCAAGGTGGCTCACGCCTGTAATCCCAGCACTTAGGGAGGCCAAGGTAGGCAAATTGCTTGAGCTCAGGAGTTCAAGACCAGCCTGGACAACATAGGGAGACATCATCTCTACAAAAAAATTAAAAATTAGCCAGGCATAGTGGTGCCCACCTGTAGTCCCAGCTACTTGGGAGGCTGACAGGAGCATTACTTGCGCCTGGGAAGAAGAGGTTGCAGTGAGCTGAGACCGTGCCATTGCACACCAGTCCCAGTCCCAGCCTGGGTGACACAGCAAGACCCTGTCTCAAACACACACACACACATGAATGGGAAATAGAACTTGTCCATGAAGGGATCTGAGGTCACCCCCCACTGTAAGGGAGAGGAAAGAGCTCAGGACTTGGCTTCATGTGAGCTGCTTGTGCTCTGGACTTTGTGATTTTCTAGTTTGTTGACTGTGAGCTTGTCACCCTTCTACGCGTCTGCACCTACCTTGGACACCAATATGGTAGGGTTTGGAATCCACCTTTGTGAATTGCACAAGGCAGGCTACCTATGGAACTACTAGTGCTGAGTCCAGCAGCCGGGGCTTTTTCCTCCCACTGGATCTTCAGCGCTGGAAGGAGACTCCGGGGCGGGGGGTGAGTTCTCCTCACCGGTCTGCCTTGAGCCTGAAGCAACTGGGAGGGAAAGGGCATCCCAGAAGGACCCAGATCAACTCTGAGAACACAGAGTGAGCCACACAGGGTGAGAGAAACTGGGTCACACTCTGCAGCCTGGGCCTTCTGTCCTGGGAGGTTTCCTATTTCGTTCCACATTCAAGGAGACCCACGATTATTTCGTGGTTTCTAAGTGCAGATGCCATCTCTCTCTTGCCCCACTGAAATCGTTAATTTCAATATTCAATCCTGAGACTCATCCTGGTTTCTATGGTCGCCCTGACCATGGTGAGACCCCGAGTGCCATGATACACCACGTGCAGCTCCAATGCAGGGGACAGCCCACGAGGGCACTGCCCGCTTGACTGTCAGGAACTCACGGGGATCCTAAGGCCTATCACACCCAGGCCCTTCACACGGGGGTTCATCTGTGCTGGGGATTAAGGGCTGCGAGTTCTTCTACAGAGGCCCAGAATGACAACTCCTAGCCCAGAAGCAGCCGTCTCTGCCCAGAACTCACCTGCATAGCAGTGCAGAGGGAGGGCTGCCAGCATGAGGATCATTAGCAGCTTCATGGCGAGGCGGCTGCTGTCTGTGCTCAGTCGTGCGTGGCAGGGATCAGGGAAGCTGCTGTGGAGGTGAGCGCCCAGCCCTGCTCTATTTATTCCCCAGGGAGACACCTTAGTCCCTCCCAGGAATGAAGCAAAGTGTCAGCCTGGCATAGGACCAGGACACAATAGTGTGCCCCAAGGGGAGCCCAGCCAGCCTGTGCTCTGTTTGTAGAAACCAAGAAGGCAGTAATATTTGGATCCCTGACAATTTGGGGACTACAATAATGACACACGGCTTTTAGTAAAATGGATGCAACAGTGTTTTCCACAATATAAAGCAAAACCCAGTGGTGTGATCTTGCGCTCTCAACACTGTTGTTATTATTGTAGTTGTCTTCTAGTCCTCTTTCCCTTCTTCCTCCTCCTCCTATTCTTTTTCTCCTACTCCTCTTTGTCTTTTCCTCTTCTTCTCCTTATTCTTCAAGGTACAAACAGTTTCATAACTTGTATATCTGCCGGTCCTGGAATCATCAAATATTTGGGCTACCT